GAGCTGTTGTTCAGCATCTTAGCTGTGGAGGGCAGTGTCACTGGCCCTCATATGTGGGATCCGAACTGGGGCCCTCTGGCGTCCCAAGCGAGTTCTTAACCATCGCGCCACTCGGCCGGCCCCAGAATAGATTTCTTAATGGAATCACACAACCTGTGGCCTTTTGTGTCTGGCTCTTTCACTTAGTGTAATGTTTTAAAGGTTCACCCATGTTGCAGCCTGTGTCAGTGCCTCATTCCTTTTTATGGCTGAATAATATTTGATTGTATGGCTAGACGACATTTTGTTGATCCATTCATCAGTTGATGGACATTTGGGTTGTTTCCACTCGGACTATTATGAATAATGCTGCTATGAACATTTTTTGTAAAAAATTTTATTGCGGAATTGGGGGAAGGGAACAGCATTGGGGAATCGGGGAAGGGGAACAGAAAAGTTGCTGTCCTTTTGTTCTTCAGTCTAGTTGTGGAGGACGTCGCTTCACTGGCCCATGTTGGTATTATCATTGCACTCTTCCTGGGTGAGGCAGTCGGTCGCTGGCCATTGGACGGCCGCTCACAGTGGCTCACAGTGGCTCACGAAAGTGCATGCCAGCTGCCAGCCAGCCCCACTGCAGCCTACTCTGTTGCCACAACTCACAGCAGCCCAGCTCCAGGTCAAGCTGTTGTTCACCATCTTAGCTGTAGAGGGCGCAGAGTCACTGGCCCTAATGTGGGATCCGAACTGAGTCCCTGCTGTTCAGAGCTGGCGTCCCAAGCCAACTCTTAACCAACACGCCACCCGCTATGAATATTCTTGTACAAGTTTTGTTTTGTTTTGTTTTGTTTTTAAAGATTTTTATTGGGGAATTGGGGGATGGGAACAGCGCTGGGGAACTGGGGGAAGGGGAACAGACAGGTTGCTGTCCTTTCGCTCCTCAACTCAGTTGTGGACGATGTTGCTTCACTGGCCCAAGTTGGCACCATCATTGCGCTCTTCCTGGGCGAGGCAGATCAGTCACCGGCTTCTGGACGGCCGCTCACTGCGGCTGCTGGCTTCTTGTACAAGTTTTTACATGGACATAAGTCTTCATTTCTCTTTGGCATATACCTAAAAGTGGAAATGCTGGGTCCAATGGTATCTCTGTGTCTAACTTTTCGAGAAACTGCCAGACTGTTTTCCACAGTGAGACTTCTGACTTTTTAAAGTTCCTTCCAGCACCCCAATTTTGGTCTCTAAACATCATCTCTAAACAAACTCACTAAAAGGAACCTGGACTCCACAGAGATATGGCCAATTCAGGTCTGAGGAAGGGAATGTTGACAATAACCTGCAGCATCTTGGTGTTGAAGAAAACAAAACAACTATCTGATGGCAGAAGGGCTCTGGAGCCAGCACACAGGCCAAAAATGAGACCACGGTTTGAGTGACAAAATATATAGTAAATGATTGAACAAACTGAATATATAAAAATCCATGACTTACAGTGATACTCATAAAAATCAAGAAATAAAAACAGAAACCTTCATTTGCCATCATGTATTGGACGTGGCTATTCCACCAGTATCTTAAAATGAAATCATGAAAAATGATCATTCAAGAAAATAATTCATCATTGTTCTTGTCTTTCCTGAAAGAACCATATTTCAGCGTAATCAGCTCAAGTTAATGAGGGAAAGCTCTTCTTTACAGATTTCTAGCTGATAAATGTAGAAGCTACCTCTGTCTTGCTCTTGGGGGTCACTCACTCTGGGGGAAGTCAGCCGCCATGTTGTGAGGCCCGTCAAGCAGCCCTATGAAGGAGTCGTGGGATGAGGAAGTGAGGAATCTTGCCCACAGCCTTGTGAGGGCACCATCTGGGAAGTGGCTTCTCCAGCCTCAGTCAAACCTTCAGATGACAACAGCCCCAGCGGACAACTTGACTGCATTATCATGGGAGACCCTGAGCCACTCAGCTAAGCCACTTCCAAATTATTGACCCTTAGAAACCGAAGGTTTGTTGTTTTAAGCTGCTAGATTTTGGGGTAATTTGTTTCACAGCAACTGATAAATTATACATGGGAACTCACCTTGGTGTCCAGATCCTTGCGGAGCTGCTCCACAACCTTCTTGTAGTCATTCTCGTGGGACAGGACCCTGATTAGTATGCCCTGAATCACCTCGTTCAGCTCCATTGCCACCGTCTCCAGGTCAACCCGGCTTGCCTTGCTGGCCACGGTGTTCTTGTCGGCTTTCTGGAGAGAGAAAGAACTCAGGGAGGCAGGGCTGCTGGGGTGGGAACAGGAGGAAGCTGGGGGAGATCAGACCGCTTTGGTCAATTTCTCCTACTTTGGGTCCCTGGACATCTAAGCCTTGGTGCAGATTCAACCCTGAGGTCTATGGGGGCTCAAACACAATCCTCAGATCTAAGCCAAGGTTTTCCTGTGACAGCGGTTGGTGCATGATATTTAAGTTCACGTAACAAACTGTCACGAATTCTGGGTCACTGAAAATAGGAGGTGACGGACAACTTTTGAGAAGCTTCCCCAGCTTTTCTATATGAATAAAGGTGGACGGAGACTCCAGAGTCTCTCTGCCAGGTTTCGGCTTGGCTGGATGGTTACACTTCCCTGGGTGGGGGAGCTGGGGCTCGGGATGGGGGCACAGGGGGAGGAGAGAAATCTGCTCACTCACCTCTTTCAGCTCCTGCTCCATCACACTTTTGTCTGCCTTGTACATTTCTAGGTCTTTTATTTGAGCCTGTAGAATCTAAGAACAGAAGCAAAGGGCATGTCAGCCATCCTTGGAAGCTCCAAGGATAACATGTACCTCCTACCTCCACCCTTGCCATGTGCCAGAAAGGGACAATGAGGCCAGGTGGACAGCAGGTAGGGTGGGCACATGGAAAGGCATGGACTCCAGGGCTCCAGATGCCCAGATCAGAAAGGGGGGAACGTGGGACTTGGGACAAGCTGTTCTCTTGGAGGTGGCATCATAGGAACTCTGCTTCATGGGGAGGCAGACCTGGAGAAGGAAAGTACAAACCAATGCTGATGATTTGGCGCCATAGATGTTTAAGGCAAGTTCATCTCTTCTGATCTGTAATGGGTCCCAGTAAGAACTACAGTCTATTCATCAGCCATGTATACTTACATGCCACACACACTGTACCTCACTGTCAGGGGAAATCCCTTATATCCCATCCCCACGACTCCACAAAGTACCAACTCCCTCCAATAATTCTACCCTCTCTCCACTAACTGGACCCTCTCTATGACAGCAGCAACAGCTAACCTGCGTGGGAAGACCTTCACACCCACTGGGCCAGTGGGAAGACCTTCACACCACAGACCTTCACGTCCCCGGGGGGGCGGGGGGGTCCACTTTTCCTCCAAAGCTGAGAACAGGCTTCCACCTCTCCCCTCATATCTGGTCTCCCTCTCGCCCTTAGCAACCGAACCCCCAACTTTTAGCTGGCATCTGACCTTCCAGCATCATGATTACATTTCACAGCCTCCCTTATAGCTCAAGGTGACCACTGGGGTATAAATGAAAGTGCGTAGGTGTCTTCTTCACTGCTGGCTTGCAGTCAGAGTTGATGACTAGAGCACCAGCAGCCATCCTGGACCTTCAGGTGACCTTGTGAATGGAAGCCACACACCATGGAATTCTAGACCAACCATCTCTGACCTTGTTTCTTTGACTTACCTTGTTTCAGTCAGTTATTTGGGGGTTTATGTTATTCAAAGTGGAACCGAATTCTAATTAATACAAAGCTCCAATACATCCACTTGCAAGAGGAAAATAATGTTTTCCACAAAGTCATTAAGAAAGAGTTCCATCCTCACTTATTTTCCTGCTGTGTTCTTAGAGGGATGTTTCCATCTTGACTGGGTGGTGGCGACATGGGTGGCAAAATAGGCAAAAATTAATCCACCTCTTAAACTTAAGACTTGGGCATTTTACTGTACATAAATTATACTTTGATGAAAAATGCGAACACCACTGCTCACCCCCAAACACAGAAGAACCTGAATGGTGTCTGTTTTGTTGACCGCTGCATTGCCAGGACCTAAGGGTGCTTGTTGAAAAGTGAAGGCGCAATAATACTGGCTGAATGATTGAATGAATGAATAAAAGGATTTTCTGCACCACCTGTTACATTCTCAGGCAACCAGGTGAAGCAGTAACTGCTATTCCAGATGTGTCTGCATACCCTCATTTCTCTCCTGGGAGGGCTAGGTGGGGCTGCTGATCTCCTGCACGTGTTCATTTAAGAAATATTTAATCAAATGTGTGTTGTATACAAAGCCCCATTCCAGGTCCTTCCAAGGTCAACTTTTATAAACAATTCTTATTGGCACAAGGGGCAGGAAGGAAGTCGGGACAAAGCCTGCCTTGCTGCATTTGGCGCTGTTGGTCTGGCCTCATCCTCTTGAGTTTCTCTCCATGAGCCATGACTACTTGGAGGCAGACACTGCGACCCTTCCTCCCCCGTGCAGGGTGGGCCATGATGCTGGGCACACATCAGACGTGCTGAGTGCATTGGCTCCAGTCTCCATTGAGGAAGGGTACCAATATATCCCCAAGACATGGCAACCCAGCCTCTGTGAAGCAGTGACTGCAAAAGGGCCCAGTGTTGCCAGGAGACGTTTGCTGATCGTGGCGCTCCCATAGGTCTGAGCCCGTGACCCTCGTCTCCTCCGCCCACACGTGGTCCAGGAGCTCTCCCTTCCACCCGCACACGGGCTGAGAACTGGCTCCCCTTGTAGCGCTTTCCCTGTCCGAGTTGCCTTGTGTGGGTCCTGGCCTGATTACTCTGTGTGACCATCTTGGGAGGGGAGATGTGGCAAGGGCTTGCCTTGGTCCTCCCCTTTTGCACCCCACATCCTAACGTATCCCACCAACAGCCCCCTGGGAATCAGAAGCGCCCATGGAAATCACCTCAGGTGGTTCTGTTTGAGGTTTTGTCTCTTTATATTCTGGGGGCAGGTCATCTCTCACTGGGAATGACCTTGATCCCTTCTCCAAAGGTCTGCAACACCTCTAAAACAAGGCACAGTCCGGACGGGTCCTGAAGTCCAGCTCAGCAAGTCAGAACTCCTCAGGCTCGTGGGAGAAGGTATCTGGTGCAGTGAGCCGCTGCTAGGTGCTTGGGATCCATCTCCACAGTTCTTGTCAGTAATTGTATTGTTCCAGAAAGGCCCTGCGTGTTGACAGCTCAGAAATGAGCCAGTTTAGGGGAAAAGCTATGAACATAACAGTTGGTGCAAGGAAACCTCTTATTCATTCATTGATTCATTCAGCACATTTTGAGCCTTCACTCTGCCAGGCACCCCTGGAGGGGCAGGTGATCCAGTGGTCAACAAAATGGACACCATCCAGGCCTTTCCCTTTATATGTATGTGTGTATACATGTGTATTGGGGGTGGGGAAGTGGGATTTGGTTGTTTCTAATTGAAGTGTAATTTATGTACAAGCAATCGCCAGTAAAATGTCCACTGGGTCCCTTGCTTTCCGTGCGTCTGTGAAACCTTGGGGAGGGTCTGACTATCCCGGCAATGAACTGTCCCCTTAGCTGCCCTTCCTGGGCCCACCCAGACCTTCGAACCTTTAACTCATCCAGGCGAATCTGGACCTTTTCCACTGCCCTGTCCAGCACGATGTGATGCTTCTTTATCACTGCTATCTGGTGCCCCCAAATTCTCTTGAGTTCCTCCTCCTAAAATGGGAGAAACAGACATCCAAGGCCTCTGCTTCTGAGGTGCCCATGGCTGGGATGGGTTTTAAAGAACGTACCAGACCAGTGTGTCTCCACCCTTCCAGCTGGGACCTCGCCCCCACTGGGACCCGTGCCAGCTGGAGCCATACGCCTCCTCCTCAGGGCTGCAGCTGCCTTCCCGGCCCGCTCACTGCCCCAGGCCTCCTTTCAGTTACAGGACAAACACTCCATCTGGTTCTGGGTCGCTTGCCTGATGCCATCATCTTCTTCTTCTTCTTTTTTTAAATGTGGCAGTCCTGTACAACACACTAATTTTTTTGTGTTTTTTTTTTTAACTTTATTGGGGAACAGTGTGTTTTCTCCAGGACCCATCAGCTCCAAGTCAAGCCATCTTTTTTTTTTTTTTTCTTGAATCTAGTTGTGGAGGGCACAGCTCAGCTCCAAGTCTAGTCGCTGTTTACACTCTAGTTGCAGCGGGTGCAGCCCACCATCTCATGCAGGAAGTGAACCAGCAACCTTATTGTTAAGAGCATGCACTCTAACCAACTGAGTCACCCGGCCGCCCACTGGCAGCTCAGCTCAAGTTGTTGTTTTCAATCAAGTTGCGGAGGGCACAGCTTACTGGCCCATGTGGGAATCAAACCGGCAACCTTGTTGTTCAAAGCACGCGCTCTAGCCAACTGAACCACCCAGCCACCCCACGCCATCATCTTCTTAATAAAAGCTCTTTCTGCCCAGGACACTGACCTGCATCCTGGATTTCTGGAGCCTGACAATCTTTTCTTGCAATGTGTCCACTGTTCTCTCAAGCTTGGAAGAGGCTCCCATATTAGCTGAAAGCAAAGGAAGGGGTGGCTGTTGGGGGCAGGGATAGGGGCAGATGCTTTGTCTAGAGCCCCACCTGCTTTTGTTATGAGATGTCTGAGGCAGCACTGTCCAATAGGGAGATACTGTAAAGCCGGGCTGGGGTGGAGGGGGGCCTTTAAGGTCATTTAAAATTTTCTAGTAGTCACATTTTTAAAAAATCCAAAAAGAAGGTGACATTAATTTTAATAAAATATTTTATTTAACCCAATATATCTAAAATAGTACAATTTGAGTATGTAATAAAAATTATTGAGATATTTTATATTCTTGTTTCTGTACTAAGCCTTCAATATCCATGGTATGCTTCCCACTTAGAGCACATCTGAACTTGAACTTGCCCCAATTCAAGTGCTCAACAGCCACGAGTATCTGCTGGTTATCACAGTATACAGAGCAGGCCTAGGGAAAACTCTCCAGAATTTACTCCCCTCCCAAAAATGACTCTGAGCAAAACTATGAAGTACCTTATTTATAGGTATATTATCCCATGACAAAATAGGGAGATTTAACAAAAAAGGAGAGGGGTAAAAAAAAAAGTACAGTATTTCCAGTTCTGGACAAGAGGCCAAAAAGTAATGTACAGGAGGAGCTAGGAGTGTATGAAAAATCGCAGCCAAGATAACATTTACAACCTATAGTTTTCTAAACAAAAATGGCAGCTGGTCGGAGGTAGAATTTGGGCTATTACGCTTTATGTTTTTTTGTGTTTTTTTTAAAAGATTTTATTGGGGAATTGGGGGAAGGGAACAGTGTTGGGGAATTGGGGAAGGGGACCAGCCAAGTTGTTGTTCTTCAATCTTAGTTGTGGAGGGCGCCAGTCGCCATCTGGCTGCCCATCAGCAGCTCGTGGCCTCTAAGCTCAAGGTGCTGTGTTCAATCTTAGTTATGGGTGGGCGTAGCCACCATCCCATGCGGGAGTCAAACCAGCAGCCTTGTTGTTAAGAGTGCACACTCTATCCACTGAGCCATCCGGGCGGCAGCTCAGCTCAAGGTGCTGAGTTCAGTCTTAGTTGTGGGTGGGCATAGCCCACCATCGAACAGGCAATCTTTTTGTTACACCAGCTGAGCCATCCTGCCACCTGTTGGCAGCTCAGCAACAGCTCAGCTCGGGCGCAGCATCACTGGCCCATGTGGGAATCGAACCAGCAGCCCTGTTGTTCAGAGCTCCCGCTCTTAAGCCAACTCTTAACCAACTGAGCCACTTGGCCGGCCCTATGCTTTATGTTTTCAATTTAAATTCATGACCATCAGAATCTTAGCTGTGCCCCAGTATTCGCCAGGATCAATGTGGTTCTTTGTAGTTACTATAATGTGTTAAATTCTGTTTTCTCTTTTCAAGATTTGTGGAACAGCACTGCCCATCAGGGGTGGTGCCGCACATGGGTATGACTTAGGTTTATTCCACCATTGTACTTGGCAGAGGGCAAACAACAAGATAATGATTTAAAGAGAGCAGGGCAGTGGAACCAGGTGGGTTCCCAGGCCACTTGCGTCAGCAGCAGTTCCCCAGGAAGGGTTAGAAATGCATTCCCTTTTTTTTTTTTAATTGGGGAACAGTGTGTTTTTTTCCAGGACCTATTAGCTCCAAGTCAAGTAGTTGTCTTCAATCTAGTGGAGGGTGCATCTCAGTGGCCCATGTGGGGATCAAACTAGCAACCTTGGTGTTATGAGCCTGCACTCTAACCAACTGAGCTAACTGGCTGCCCCAAAAATGCACGTTCTTGTACCTGCCCCGCCCCAACCACCTGAGTCAGAAACTCTGGGGGTGGGCCCTGAAGTCTGTGCAAGTCTGTGCTTCACCCAGCTCCCCTGGGGGTGGGGGGCACTGAGGCAAGGTCAAGGTTGAAAACCACTAGGGTAGGCCACTCTGCCCTCCACTCTCCTCAGTGAGCATGTGCCCATCATGGGCCTGAAATGGGAGCATAAATCTACTGGTCCCACTGCCACCCAGCACGTGACTGTGGTCTTTAAGAATCCATATGTTGGCCTGGCAGCTGTTCCTAATCCCAAAGTGACCACTTCATCTGGGGTCTGTTCAGGGCTCTCTGGAGGATCTGGACTTATCAAAGCGCTGAATGGCAGTATGTGTTTTATGGGCTACTGAAAGGGAGATTTTTGAAGAGTAATTTTGACATGTGATTTTCTTACTTAAGCACCAACTTTAGACTGTTAACTGCCCCTCTTCCCTAAGATAAGACCTCACTATACATTCATTGTAAAGAATAGACTAGACTAGTAAGAGGCTAATGCACGCCAAAGAAATGAATGGCGAATGGTAGAATATAGATTTTGTTGGGGCAGCTAAAGGAGGAGGTGCTTCTTAAAGGTTGCCTGAGCCCTTGCCCCCCTCCCAGAGCCAGGCTGGGCCTACCTAGGTAAGTCAAGCGCTGTTGCAGGTTGGTTGACAGCTGGGCAAACTCTTCTTGCAGGGAGTCGTGCCTAATGGGCATCTGGGCTATGTGGCTCATGGAATACCTGACGGCCTTCTTCTTGTCTTCAGGGGTCGCAGCCTGTTTGGCGGCCATCATGGCCTGGGACAGGGCCATATCAGGAGGGACGACAGCAGCAGCATGTGAAGAAGAGAAGTCTTCATAGTCCATCTTGGTGTCATCGGTGAAGGCCACGGGGGCTGTGGCCCCACGGAAAGAGCCTGCACCCACAATGTCTGCAGAGACCCCTAAGGGGCCAGATGTAGCCATGGTCGTTGCTAAGGTAGCCAATTTGGTGGCAGGGGCATCCTTGACAATCTCGGCTGCCTGGGTTGCTGAAGTCGTGGCAGATGCATAGGCGGCAGCGGCGGCGGCTGCAATGACAGCAGTGGTTTTCATGTGCCGAAGGGCAGAATGGGGACTGCTATGGGGTTCTTCCTTGGGGGCCTCAGCCCTGGGGGCTCTGTCCTGAAGGATATTCATGTATTGTAAATAATCTTCCCTATTTTCTGAGACAGCTGGGGGCTGGTGCATCTCTTCCTGGCGAGACTGTGACTGCCGTAGACGAGGCCACGCCGAGGTGAGCTCTGTGGCTGGTTGTATGGCTCTGAAATCCTGGAGCTGAGCAGGCAGGGGGCCCGATAGGCCTGGGTCATGCTGGAAGTAGTCTAAGCCCCAGAAAGGCCTAGTGCTAGGTCTGGGCCAGCCTCTGGAAGGAGGCCAGCCTCTTGGAGGCATAGGCCAGAATCCTGGTGGTTTGGGCTGAGGGCCTAGGTCATACCCAGGTCCAGGGGCAGGCCTAGGTCCGTACAAAGACCCAGGTCTGGGGGCAGACCCAAGGTCAGGTCCAGGTCCATACAAAGACCCAGGTGCATATATAGGTCCAGGTCCAGGGACAGACCCAAGGTCAGGTCCAGGTCC